TATGATTGGACCAAGTTAAATTAGAATCAATGGTTATCCCCAAAAATTTGACAGAATTTTTTTTCTAAAAGCAAAATATCATTAATATATATTCTACAATTTAATTTTGGTGAATGAACATTTCTAAAGTATATAAAGTTTGTTTTAGTAAAATTGAAAGATAACTTATTAGACTTAAACCAAACATATATTTTAGATAATTCAACATTTAAGATTGACGTAAGTGTGTCTAAATTTGTATGAGAATAAAATACATTAGTGTCGTCTGCATGCAATATAAATGTTAAAAGTTTAGATGATTTTACAATATCATTAACGTATAACAAAAATAATAAAGGACCTAGAATCGATCCCTGAGGGACGCCACAAGTTATAGGTAATCTACTCGACCCTTTAGATTGAAAGTATACATACTGTTCTCTATTTAACAAATAATTTTTAAAGCAATACCCCTTACTCCATAAAAGTGTAATTTATCAATCAATATTTTATGATCAATAGTATCAAAGGCCTTACTCAGGTCCATAAAAATGCCTACACTGTGTTCCTTATTAGCCAATGATGTAATAATTTTATCATAAAGTTGAATAATTGCATGATCTGTCGAATGATGCTTTCTAAAACCAAACTGATTAGGAACAAGTAAATCATTACTATTTAAAAAATCATAAAGTCGTTCATAAATAATTTTTTCAAGAATTTTTGAGATAGCCGGTAAAAGGGAAATAGGACGATAATTATTTACTAATGAAGAATCATCTTTTTTATATATTGAGATTATTTTAGAAATTTTCAATATATTTGGACAAACACCAAGTGTGATCGATAAATTAAAAATATAAGTTATTGGAGAGACAATATTATAAATAATTTTGTTCAAAGATTCACACTTATCCCATCATAACCAGTAGATTTAGTGGATTTTAAAGACTGTACAACTTTAATAGTTTCGTGAGAGGATGTTGGTCGTAAAAATAAAGATTTATAAAATGGTTCATCCAAATATTGTTTATAACTATTTTGATCAATATTAAATTCTGATGCTAAATTTGGACCTATATCATTAAAATATGAATTAAACATATATGCAATTTTTACTGGATTATTTATTTCCTGACCATCTTTAAAAAATGATTTAGGAGTATTATTTTTAGAACCAATCATATCTTTAACAATTTGCCATATTGAAGCATTACTTGTCTTATTCATGTCTATTTTATTTGAATAATGTAATTTACGTGAAAGTCGAATTATTGAAGTTAATTTATTTCTATAAATTTTATACTTGCTACAATTCTCATCACTCACCTTTTTGAGACTTTTCTTATAAAGTTTATTTCTACTTTTTATCGACTTTAAAATTCCTTTAGTGATCCATGGATTTTTAACTTTCTTATATTTTGTTCGAACAAGTGGAATATTTTTATCATAATACTTTTGCAGCTTATGATTAAATTTTTCGTAAGCCTTATCAACATCATTTTCCTCAAATACAACGAGCCATTGCTCTTGACATAAATCAATATTTAAAGAATCAATATTAGAAGAATTTTCTTTTCTATGCATTTTTAGTGTATTGTTCAATAATCTATGAACGTTAATTGTCTGCTTAATAATACTAAAAATAGGCAAGTGGTCAGATATATCATAATACAAAATACCATTTAAACATTTCTTATTAACATTATTTGAGAATATATTATCAATGATGATGTTTTCGAAATCCGTGTGGGTTTATTAATATGAGGATGCAACGAGTAAGATAATAGAATGTTATCTAATTTCAAACTATTATTTTGAAGAGGAGGTAAAATGTTTATGTTATAATCTCCCATTAAATAAACATCTTTATTTTCACCAATAATTGTATAAAGAGATTCATTTAAATTATCTAAAAATGTCTCTATCTGATTATTAGGAGGTCTATAAACTACGCCTATTAAAATATTTTTACCAAAATCATTTATAACTTCAACAAAAATGTCCTCTGCACCTTCAATATGAATATCATGTCGTATTCGAATATTTAACTGAATTACGTAAATAAATAGCTACACCGCCACCTCTACCTACTTTGCGGTCAGCACGGACCATAGTATAATTATCAAGATTTAATACAGGAGGGGAGTTTGCGTTAAGCCACGTTTCAGTGACACCTATTACAGAAAAATTAAACCCAGGAATTACAGAAAAAAGTGTGTTTAAATCATCATAACTTCTATTCAAACTACGAGTGAATTAAACTGAAATTATTAATATCATTATTACTACCTTTTTTCAATTCATGATTAAATTGGTTTAGTGTAATCTTAATTTTCGCAATAAATTCATCAATAGTAAAATAGTCACTATTGTGTTCAATTAGAGACTGGTCATATAACAAATCATGATTATTCATTTAAATGTGAACCTAATATAATGTTTGAAAGAGAGAGGCTTTTGCGCGGAGTGCAAGTTAGTGGAGTGCAATAGAAAGAAGAATAGTGAAAGTGAAATTAGTATTGTCTTTCAAATGCCGTTGACCTTTTCAATTTGACCTTTTCATTTTTTGGCCTGCAAATGGGACATAGTACTTTAAAGGGGAAGTCCACCACGATATTTTTAATAGTTTTAATAAAAGCAGAAAAGTGAGACAAACAAATTAGTACAATTTGAGCAATATCTTATAAAAATAGATAGCAAAATTATGCCATTTTGAAGTTGTCATCAGTGAAACACAAATTTGCAACACTGTTTTCGTTTATTCTTGCATATAGTAGCCGTTATCAAAAGCAGTCATGAAGTTGCTCATCTTAGCACTGGTGGTGATGATGGTGGTGTGTGTCCTTGCTGATTCAAGCGGAAACTCATCATCTAAGTCTGAAGCTGAAAGCGGTAAGATAATTGTCGAGCACAGAGTTGAGCCATTTAAAGTGTTATTAGTTGTTTCAGTAATAAAGGTCTAAACCAGCTTGCAAATAGCTACAAGGGGTAGGGCTGAGGTGATTGATATGATCCGATTGCAACCTGACTTGAGCTTGATATCATAGACCATAATGCCTAATATGGTATGCACTATTTAATCAGTTGTAGAGGCATGATTTCTATTTGTTTTTTTAATGGAAAAAAAATTGAACGATAGACGACCCTTACTCTAAACCTAGCTCTAAACCTACCTGGTACTGTGTACTTAACATAACAAAGAAAATTAGCTACCTTATCTAAATTAGGTTGATAGCTATTTTTATTTTAAAAAACGTGCCTCTACAACAGTACTGATCAAATAAGGCCTACCTGATATCAATAGCCCTTTCTAAGGCGATATTTATTATGAAGCTAGTATGCCTAGACGTCTTGGTTAGTTTAGACCATAGCATATTGAGAGAGAGAGAGAGAAAAAAAAGAGGGAAAGAGTGGGAGAGAGAGAGAGAGAGAGAGAGGGGGGGAGAGGGACACACACATACACACACGTACGCGATCAAATGTCAATTCATGGAGCTCCAAATAGTTCCTATCTATGATTATAAAGACTGTAAACTATGTGTGTGGAACTATTTGGAGCTTCTTTGATCGCGTAAGTGTGCGCTTGTTACAACTATCTCTTTCAGAACGCTATGGTTAAGGCCCCCCCCCCCCTCCCTCTGTATATGCTATACGTTATAGCTGGCAAGGATTGCGTTTACAAACTAACTGTTAAATACCCCCAGTGGGTTACAAAAAAAAATACTTTTAAACTTCACCTGCACATAATCACCATGATGACGATAAAACACAATCTAAAAGTCATTAGCCTCCAATTAGTAAGCAAATAATTACCGTTGGTGAAGGTGATGGGACAAACTATCACTTCCGAGGCGATCTGGATGTAGCTATCTTTCCGAAGCGAAGCTGAGGAAAGATAGCGTATACATTTAGATTGCCGAGGAAGTGATAGTTTGCCATCGCCTCAAACCAAAAGATGATTATTTGCTTTATATTCCACTTCGGAAACATTTCATTTCTTCCGTCATTTTAGAGCAACAAGTCATCAATTAACAGCTAGCAAACGGTGTACGATACGTACAGTGCATGCAGTATGGTGGTGGTGTGACCATATTATAGTTCGCGCGTGACTAAAGTTTGCGTACTAACACTAAAAGCGCTTAAAGAGGAGAGCAATACGCAGCGTATACAATTAAAGTGCGTTGCCCTGTGTAGATAGTACTACTATCTACACAGTGTAACGAACGTTTTGCTTCTCCCAGCAATGATGGGCGAACTATCTATCATCACGTGACTTACTTTTGACCAATCGTAGAGCAAGATTCTTAGTATGTGGAATATAAAAGCAATTATTTATGGATATTATATTTTGAGCCACCGCACAGGCGACAACATTCCTGGAGAAACTGCATTATATATTTTCTTTTTAATTCTTCCTAATTGATTCAATTTTCAATGTGTATTTACAATAAGCAATTGAAGAAAAATCTCCATCTGCTTCAAATCGTAGTGATCAATTGCAATAATGGAAACCAACTCTCGTAAAGGAAAGATGAAGATTTCACCACTCAAAGTCTCAAACGTTTCAAAACCCGTATAAGAAATAATTCTTGTCAAGGTTGTTTTTAAAAATGAAACCCATACTTGAATGACCAGCATAATTATATATTATTACAATTGGATACAAATAATCAGCGTATTTAACCTAGTGATGTCAGAGTTTTGTACTGAATTATGTATGTTCTAATCTTTGAACGTTATCCTGAACCTTGTAGTCTATAGTGTAACGTTTAAACAAAATGTATAAAACTACCAAACCAGCCGAAGATGTCATTTGAGTAACACATTTAGAAAAACAGTTGTTTATTATTAAGGAAATATTAAATCTAGCAGAATTTTGCTCAAAGATACATGTCCCGTTAGTCGACGGTACACATTCGACCAACAGGGTATTATTATGTCTTATTGCCTTTATATCATCATGTTATTATTTTTAGTTGAGTGGGGAGACATGGACACCGCTGGTGTCGAGGAAGAGGGTCAGCCTGGTCAGCCTGGTAGTGGTGATATGTGTAACCCGGGTTATTGCAGTGGAAAAAAAGTAAGATTTACCATGAATTTCTGATTATGTATTCCTCGCTGTTTGAATTACTGTTAGCTTAACATTATTATTTGTTACCATTTCTTTATCTACGGGATAGGGATGGACGTGGCCCATCCATCCCACCGGGTAGAGACAATGTAGAAAAATCCAGAAAAGGCCAGAAAAGAGAGAAAATGAGAAGGGGAAAGGACAAAAAAGAAAAGGCCTGAAGCATCTTCCTGACAATACCCATATCAGTAGGCTTGTAAAGTTACTGAAAGCTACCACACAAAAAAAAAACGATAGGCATAAAGATTGATAACATCTAACGAGAAATAAAACAAAGAAACAGTTATTTTCATTTTCATAATAATGTATTATTATAATGTGTAATGAGCGGTGGCCCTCAACGTCATGTCATGAATATTATCGTCCCTCCGCCTCAAGAATCTTAAGCTCACCAGTTGGGAGCTCTCCTAGGTTATTTCCCATGTACATGCACGCTCGTATCATTATAATTGCTATATTTCAAGCGCAGACCCTTACGTTTTCATGTAACAGTTAATATTCATGTGTGTTATTTTTACACTTTTATTACAAGGCATCTTCGGAGTAATTGGTAACGTCTAGTGGAACTTGTGAAACAACACATCGTCATCGTACAATCAACGTCACTCTCATTTCATCCATTACAACGGAAGCTCATCGAAACTGTGACAGCCGCCAACCTCTCTACCCCCCCCCCCCCCTCCCCTCCACCCGCCATGCTCTTGGGTAACGTCTAGTGGAACTTGTGAAACAACACATCGTCATCGTACAATCAACGTCACTCTCATTTCATCCATGACAACGGAAGCTCATCAATACTGTGACAGCTGCCAACCTCCCTACCCCCCCCTCCCACCAAAAAATATATGTTAGAGGTAAAGACCAGTTTTGGAACCCCCCCCCCCCCTTCTCACACAATGAAATGGAACCTCTTATATGTGAAAGATGGGTTTTGACTAATAATAATAAATAATAGATAATAGTGAACATTTATAATGCGCCATGTCTGTCAAAAATGACACTTCTGGCGCAGTTGTGTGGAAATTGTATAACTGTGGGCATACGACCATCAAGTTTTTCAAGAAAGAAAGTAAAATACACATAAGTTAAAGTTTAACATACTTCAGGACATAATTTGCAATAACAAAATAATACAATACAAAGCATATTACAGTAATAGAAGTTATATAAGGGTAGTACAATGTAAGACATAATTAAACAAATTTTGCCGGGAAAACTGCCCACTAATAGATATATTTGGTAAATTATCATATCGATCCGGACTGGAGAGATATCGCGAATGCACTTCAAAATTGAACATTTGGGCATATATTTCTGCTTTTTTGCGAATTTAGGTTGAAGTTTTGCCATCTAAACCTCTGAAGTCAATATTTAAACAATATTGAATGGATATTTTGCACCCAAAACCCTTAAACCCCAATTTGTCCATTACCGGTCTATAACTCTAAGAGGTGGGCTGTATTTCAAACAGAAATCGCCAAATTATTAATAAGTCAATTAATACTATTATTAATTAATGTTATTAATCTATAGTAATGTATAACTGATATACAACCCTCTCAGTGTACTAATTTTTATTCCAGTTAGTGATATCAATTTTGATTACATAATTGCGGTGATAAATAAAGTGTGTTTAAACAAGTAATATAATTATGTGTTTTGTACTCTTCATTTATGTTCTATGCTACAGACACTGTTATAGTAAAAACGTAAAGTCTACAGTCGCCCCCTCCCCCATCCAAACGACAAAATTGGGGAGCAAAATCTATTTTCAGCCCCCCCCCCCTTCCAAAAAAAGCCCCACCCCCTCCGAAAAAAAATCAGCTGTAAAGAAGTAAAAATTATTTTATTTTATATTTTAACCAAAAAGAAAACAAATAATGAATCATGAACTGAGTCAAAACAAAAATTATTATTCCATTTAAATAAAAGGAAACAGTTATTAAATTTCCTAAACATGCCGCATGCCCCTATAATTATCAACGGTGGATTTGGTAATAGCGATACGCGTATATTGTGGAAATATTGTGAGAGGATGGGAAATCGTTTGTGTTTTTATTATATGGGTGAGAAGAAATGAGCCCCCCCCCCCCCCCCCCCAAAAAAAAAATAAAACGTGTTTTTTTTTTCTTCTAATTCGATGCCTCCATTGATCTACAAATGTTGCTAAAATGACATGACTTTCCAGGATTTTTTCTCATTTTTTTTTTATAAATTATAATTTTATATGTGATTGTTGGAAACTACAAATCCTAAATTTACAGACGGGCAAAAATATGCTCATTAAAAGCCTTCATGTCAGGGCCTTAAGGTGGGTCCCTGGATGCTCACCTGACCGTAATTTAAAAAAAACTTAAACCCATGGGCTACCGGGGGCTCTGTCCCCTGGACCCTAGCAAGGGCCTTAAGATGGGCCCCTGGATGCTCATCTGATCGTAATCAAATGCCTAAAACTCCTGAGCATCCAGGGGCTTTGCCCCCTGGACCCCACGCCAACTAGTGACAAGCCAGTGTAACAAATAAGGTATTAAAATATGCTCATCTCAGTGACTGTAATCACATGCCTTAAACCCTTGAGATTCCAGGGGCTCGGCTTCCTTGACCCCACCACGGACCATAAGACGGCCCCTGAATGTTCATCTGATCATAATTAACTCCCTAAAACTCCTGAGCTTCATGGAGCTCAGCCCCCTGGATTCCACGCCAAGACAAGTGGCAGCGATCAGATTTTAATAGGGGCATTTATCGGAGGTGAAAGAGGGCTTTCATGAGATGGGGGAAGTGGCTCTTATTGAAAAGCAAAAGAGGCACATGTTAAAATAAACGGGGCACTTATCAACGATGAAAAGGGAAAATATGAGAAAGGAAAGGGGCACTTTTCAAAGTCAAATTTAGCATCTCTCAGAATTGAATAAGGTCATAAAATAAGGTCATAAGGAACTATCTTCATACCTGAAAAGGGGCTCTTTTTTAAATTGGGGCACTTATAATAATGAAAAGAGGCACTTAGTAAAAAAAAAAAAAAGGATAGGGTGTAAATGTATTGTGTTGTATTGTATTTATTAAACTTCATTGATGTACATCAGTATTCTGTTTATAAACATATAAATATATACGTTTGGAAACATATATTTCATATAGGCGAAGTCAATTTACAATGTAATGTAACAAATCAATATTCTGTAAACATATATACCGTATGAATCAATTTACAATGCAATGTTCATAGCAAAGATGGAAAATTATATCCAGCAGAAACACTCTTTTTTTTCTTTTAGTAACAACATGACATAATGCATATAGTAAATGTACCATAATACATCCGAGGGTTTATGTATATAAAACATAATACAGCACTTTTCTAAATAAATTATAACTCATGCCATACTCACTAGGTACATGTCAAAATAAAGGGTTTAAAAAGGGGGTATTTATTTTTTTTAAAACCTGAAAAGGGGAACTTACTAAAGATTACAAAAGGCACTTATGAGAATGGAAAATGGACACTTACAGCAAAGGGAAATGGGAACTTGTCAAAAGAAAAGGGGTACATGTCAAAATAAAAGGGGCACTTATCAGAGGTGGAAAGGGGAAGAGGCACTTTTAAAAGGGGCACTTCTCAAAGAGTAAAAGAGGCACATTTCCTATGTAAAAAGGGACACTTTTACAAAGTTAAAGGGGCACTTTTCCTATGTAAAGGGGGCACTTTTGGGGTTCTTCTGACATATTCATATTTCCTGCAAAGTTCTACAGAATGTGATGTTGGCTGAACAAAGGAAACACTACCTTTAAAGGTACTATGTCCCTTTGCATCCAGCATCAAATTCTGTAGAACTTTGCAGGAATTATGAACATGTCATGTTTGTCCTATCTGTGAAATTTAAATGTTAGCAGTGTCCTAATATTCAAATTATGCAAGGAAACCTGATTACTTGCTAGACTTCACTGTCAGACACTATTAAGTAACTGACTGGCTTTTTCTTCTTTGGTAATAACAAACTGTACATCAAATGAGCTGTAAAGGGCACATGAGCATTTGTCTACATCAATAACCCACTTCTTGTAACGGCCGAAATTAAACTGATTGAATCTTTGCCCAGCATAAAACGTACGACCATTCGGTACAATGGTCTGAAAATCAGACTATTACTTACTGGCTCTATAGCTCTTAAGTGTATTCGACAACTAATAGTCGTTATTTTCCCACTTAAAGACATTTTCCAGCCCCCCCCCTTTTTAGGGAAGTTCTAAATTAGTATTATCTTTCAAATTCCGTAGGAATTTAACCTTTTATTTGTGTTGCCTGCAAATGGGACATAGTACCTTTAAAACTGGCTACATCGCTCACAAAATCGGTGCCGTCTTAGCTAAAATCTGTGAAATGTCCCATAAGATTAACGCCCTCTATACTTAAAATAGAGGTCATCCCATAAATAAAAAGCAGAAGCAATGAAAGTTCATATTCATGTAAAAGATGTCAGCTACCTGGATAAATTATTTATACCCATGAATCGATGCATTTTTAAACGCTAGACGGCGGGGGCGGGGGGGGTGTAGGTTGTTGTTCTCTTATCTACCTGTCCGGTCTGTTCACGATCACGATTTTCAAAAATACAGCGCCTTTAATTTTAATGTACTACGCTATGCAGTATTCAATTCCTGATTTTAAAGGCAGTATCCGTTAGTGAACAAGGTCTAGGCGCAAATACAGGGGGAAGGGGGGGGGGAAACCGGCCCTGCCCGCCCCCCCCCCCCCCTCCCCTGGCAAAAAAGGAAAACAAATAATTGTGACTAATTGTGAATTGTGACCCCCCCCCCCCCCCCCCCCCCAACTGAGCGAAATATCGGCCGGCACGATTTCCAAATTTCAGCACACTAAATTTCAAATTGATTTCAAATTTGGGCCTCCACCCCCCCCCCTCCCCCCCCCCCCCCCCCCCCCCACTAAGAAATCCTAGATCTGCGCCTGACAAGGTCATGTAAAATTGGGTGAAAAATAGAGTATTAAATTCAATTACATTACTTCAGCCAGAGGTTCTGTGATAGCTTTCCACATTTAAATCGAAAAAGATAATCAAAAAAGTAATGAAAGAATAAGTCGATTTGAAAACACCATACGGCCTGCTTTTGCAGTTGATCTTGCCATTGCCCGACCTTCATAATGTATGAGCGTATAATTATTCAAATCTATATTGTTGTAAAGCGCATAGTCATGCCTGCCTACAATGGCTCCAACGATAAAATGGAATCGCAATGAATAAAGGATAAAACAGATACGAAAGCAAGAACATAATGTTGAGAAGATGTGAAAAGTTTGCGAGAGAACAAAACTGGGTGCAATGGTTATATTATACGGAGGTTATTTGTTTGCACGGGAAACAAATTTGTAGTTTTGTGTCAAAAAATCATTTCCTCTTTTCATGCAAAAACTAATGGTTTTCAGGGTTACACAAATCAATATGGAGAGAGAAAGCCGAGTAGGAGAGGGAGAAGGAACATGAGAGTCAGAAAGAGAGACGCAGAGAAAGGTTTGGCGAGAGAGAGAGAGAATGAGGAAGAGAGGGAGAGGAAAAGAGAGAGAGAGAGAGAAGGAGAACCCGAGAGAGAGAGAGAGAGAGAGAGAGTGAGAGTGAGAGAGCATTAAAGAGAGAAAGAGAGAGAAAGAGAAAAACGAGAGAGAGAG